ATTTACTCAAGAACAGCCACAAGTCGCCACGTTGCATGCAAACATTTCCCTTTTTAGTAAGCAGCGTTGCCACAGCACTAAATCCGCCTTCACACAAATATGACGATGGGAATGCTGTCAAGAATCGTTGAACGATTGACAGGAATCCAGGGTACGATTGCGGGATCGGATTTTGTAGCCAACATTCTTGATAGCCATTTTTGAACTTTATTTTTATTTCCTCGTTCGTTGTCAATTCTGTTAGTTCTTCTTCCAGCTGAGGTGATATTGCTGTGTTGACATTTGAAAGTATTAATAGTAAGTAAGTAATGTAAGCTATGTCATGTTTTGATGTAATGAGCTTGTTGCGCAATTCTGTATCTTTAGTTTCCAAGAACTCTATCACAGAGTCAGACATGGAACCTTGATATCAACAAACTTATTAAACAGCATCAGATTCATCCTACACATTAGTTTTTATATTAGAATCGATTATGTATGTTTTATTTTGAATAAAAGATACTCTGAATACTATAGAGTTGCGTTTCAATAATCATTTTCATTAGCAGGTGTAGCCCGTGAGAGTTCACTTGAGACCTCGCCGTTGTGTACTGCCACCTACTGCGCTCAGGTATCAAGTAAACTCTTGCGGGTTATAGTAAAAGTCTCGTTGAGAATGAATGTTTAATCTCCACTAATATAGCTGGCAATAATTCATTTAATTTGAAGTTATAGTGGTTTTTAAGTAAGTGAAAAAATGGGGGCGCTAAAAAGTAATTTATTCTCAAAGTGGGCAGTAGACAAATTAAGTTTGGGAGCCCCTGATCTAGATGTAGAATGTAACATTGTATCAATATTGGTTCAAATAAATGTGTAATAAGCATTTGCTTTTACTTTATTATGAAGTAAACAACCTATTTCTTAAAACAATTATTATTAGGTCTTAAAGGTAACATTTCTAAACTATTATATTATGTACACTAAAATTAAATTGAACTACTGTATAAAGATAAGATACGAACATGGCTTGGAATGGATCCATGATTTTCATCTCTGTCACGGAACGGAGGGGAGGGATTTGATAACAGCTGCCCGCGCGCCTCCAAGAGAGACCTAACAACTCAAGAGCAGCTGCTTCGCGAATGAATCTACTATCGATCGGGTCGCCAACCCGCTGAGAAGATCTGGCGAGAAACTCAGCGGGCTGATCTATGCGTTAGGTTGCACGTCGAACTCTTTGCCGAGTTCGACCTCTTAGTGTTAGAGCTGAAGGCGTCTAGTGCTGAGGTTAATGGATTTGATTGATTCGTAAGAACGTATCCGGGGCGTCGACGGTAACTGGCTCCTGCATGAGCAGGAGTTGGGGAGTAGTCAGCGGCGGCACATTTTACTCCGCTAGCAAATCATGGAATAATAAAGTCTGCAGAGAATAAACGCGATGCGATCACGCAGAGACCATCTGTGGGTGGAATGTCGTAGATGTATCCAGGATAACTCCCAGGTACTTGACCTTCCTGGCCTAAAGGATGGGTTGGCCGAAGAAGGCGATCTGGGGTGTGATATTTCTACCCCTAATGCGGGGGAGGAAATAGGGGTTGAATTCCCCCTTTGAAAGAGCACCGCTGTGGTTTTCGCCGAGTTAATATCGATGCGCCATTTCCGGAACCACTGTCCGAGTGCTACAGCTGCGCTTTGAAGTTTACTCGCAATTAGGGACTTGTTTCTACTCGAATAATAAACGGTCGTGTCGTCGGCGAATAAGGTTAACTGGATCTGCGGCCACTGAGGAATGACGTTGATAAATAAACTAAATAGGAACGGAGAGAGGACGAAGCCTTGCTGGTCCCCGCCCGTGAGAAGTCGCGGGGAGGAGCGGGGGTACCCTCGACTCGGTATCTGAAAAAACTATTCGACAAGAAGTCTCATATGTTGATCACGGTGAGACTGTCCGGCGCGCCCACGTTAAATAGTTTGAATAACAAACCGTTTTGCCAAAATTTTCGAACGCTTTTGCGACGTTGAAGAAGAGGGCTCCCGTATTAATCGGTTTACGTCAGTTAAGCTCAACGAGAAGGTGCTCCGTAAAGCGGTGCACCTGTTGTACGCATGAGTGAGTCGTGCGGAATCCAAATCGTTCATCAATAAGAATGCTCTTGGAGGAGACGAAGTCTCTGGGGCGATTGTAGAGTAGACGCTCGTACAGTTTTTCTAGAGGTTTTAGGAGGTTGATCGGGTTGACTAGTCGGAAGAATTTTCGGTTTATGGGGTTTATATATACCGATAACGTCCGCTTCTTTCCACACCGCAGGAAAGATGCAATTTGTCATAGGCATTGAAAATAAATGCCATCATCAGGATGAGTTAGGCGGGTAGAAATTTGATAGCACGATTAGATACATATACTATCAGAACCGGGAGCCTTACGAGGACGTAGGTCTTTGATCAGGTCTTTGACTTCCATCGATGTCT